CAAATTCACTTACTCAAAATTTTCCTGGCTTTCTAACTATGCGACAAGAGCCATTACAAATTCATCCAAACTAGTCGTTAACTTTCCCATGGGAATGATGTTGCTACTCAGTGTGAAATTGACGATTATCTCTTCAGAACACAACGTTGTACAATACATCATTTGATAGATGAAAACCTTTACTTTCTATTGGTTATAGGTAATATATAATGAAACGTAAGAGAGAACTAACTACCAATGAAATGTGAAAAAGAGAATGCGGCAGGAGGGGTCTGATTTTCTATTTGATAGCTCTGTAACCAAACTAAATTGAAGGCTATAAAAATTATGGTTCGTCTGAGCAATGAAGATTTTATAATTAGTAATTTATGTTGAATTTCATACTTATTGGATGGGTGGTAGATGAAACAGAAGAGGAGATGCCTAGAGAAAATGTCATGTATCACACTAGGAGAAATTCAATTTTTTTTTAAGTATTGCCTTATAAAATTAAGAGCTTAAACTTATATACCATTAAAATATGGATTATTAGCTAATATTTTATGCTAAACTAATTGGCATAACATAAACAAAAAGTAGATTAATAAAATTTTGAATGTAAATCACTAAAATCTTGTGACATGTGCAGTAAAGGATGCCCCGTCACGATAGGGTTAAAGAATAGAGTTATGCATTTACAAATTAGAAACATAATACAGTGTAAAGAAATAAACAGTAAATTTGCATTTTATTTAATACTTAAGTAGCTAGAGAGTTTAGTTGGGTGATAACAGCCAGTTGCTTTCCCTCTATTCAGCAGTTCAAAATTACTGATGATAGAAAATAGCATTAGTAGCTTTCCAACAACAAAGATAAGACGAGTAAACTTAGTGGCAATGGGAATCAAACCCACAACTTTCAAATCATGAAGCATCCCTCCACACCTGTCCATTACGTAGCTTTGTACTTAATAATACATAATAATTATATTTTGATTACTTGGATATTTGGAATAATCAAAAACAGTAAATAACTGAAAGGTCTAATTTTGATTAGTTTATTATTTTTTGACATTAATCAATTTCTTTATGGGACAATAATCAATGTAATTGCTACTCACAGGTAACTGATTATATCAATTAAATTGCTCAGCTCTACAAAACACACCACCTATTATATTATACATACACAAACTTAACAGATTTCATTATACAGTATATTACAAATGTTGTTAAAAGATAAGAAATTTAGAACACTAGATACAGTGCTTAATACAATACTGACATCACATTTACTTACCACATTTACATAAATGATGGAGTGATTTTCTAAATCGACAAAGATGTAAGTCAATTTTATACTTTTGATAAGTAGGGTCCAGTTGTTGTAGCTCATTTAAAAACGGTAAGTATTCTTTCGGATCCTACAACAAAATAGTGAATTGAACTCTATTTATTTTTATAAATAGCAGAAATTAAAACAGTTGTGAAAATATTTTGACCTTTGTTAATTTTTTAACCCTTAAATGCACAAGGTATTTTACATAATGTTAATTAGTGCAAAACATGTGGATCACGATTGATCCAATTGGGAAGAAGAGGATTAAAATAATATTAAATATAAAATTTAACTATGAAATGAAAAAAACATATCTTTGACTAATAAAGAATAATTCAGATATACATTAGGACATATCAGTTTGAAAATAGAAGAAAAATAATGGAAACATAGCATTTCTTTGATGAAAAAAACAAAACAAGCCACCAGGTGAAGTCAATAACAAATTTTATTACAAAATTTCCAGCTAACTATTTACTGCAGTTATCATGTACAGTTATTTATGTTATTTTTAATGTTCAGAGCAGATATATAAATAGCATTTTACACAAGTTGTGTCAGTTTTTCAGTCCTTCAAGGTAGGGCACAATGAACATCTTGAAGATGATGATATATTTAGCATACCTTCAGCATGCTCTTGATGTTGTTTCTATATTCTACAAATTTGCAAAGCACCTATGATAAATGCATTACTTAAATTTATGATAATTATTTTTAACATCTGACAAATGTGCAATACAGTGTTCAAGTATTATGTGTTTTGACTACATAACAATGTTACATTCAGTGAAAAGTTTCAACTGAGATATTGGAAAAATATGTACTGACCAAACAAATTTCATCATCAGCTTTGTGATCCATGTTATGCATTTAAGGGCTAAATGCCCAACTCTTTTCTATTATATAATAAATGCAAGCCTTTACATTAATTTCATTTGATAAGCTTTTTTCTGTCAATGGTTTTAAACAATTACACAAAAAAGTAAAGTAAGAAACATAAAAATAAGAACTGCACAGCTTTTTAAACTATAATTTTCAAGCCATTTTGACACAAATAAAATTTGATTCATTATTAATACATAATTTCACTGCAGCTAACGAAAACTAAGATTTACTTTACCAAATTTCTTAACCATGGATTCTAATTCAAATATATATGATCACTTTTAATATCTCATTTACAGAAAGTTAGCAACCTTAATGATATTTAACGCTTGCGGTATATCAATAACTGCTATTTACTGTAATGAGTCATTACTTTAATAGAGTTCATGAAATCACAGAAATGCATAAACATAAACACAGCTTTTTGCAAGCCAAATTTACAAACCTATTAGAAACTATCAATCATTCTTGCCAAGTTGTAAATTTGCAAAATGCTTGTTATTTTCTCTTTTTTTTTGCATGATTTTTCCTGATTATTTCCAAGTATTTTAATAGGCATTTTAAAAGCATTCAAACTGTGGGATAAAATTTACAAATATTGTCAACATTTCCAACAATGTTCAATTGGAAGCATCAAAGGGTTATATATAATTATTTAAAGAAGTGTCAAAATAACACCAAAGTAAGGTGTCCAAGGTATTATAATCTTGAAGAAGTTCAATTAGTGAACAAATAGTTTAGTAGATAAACTCAAAAAACAAATATTTGGACACACATATATATAAATGATCATTAATTATCATAAACATTTAATATTTGAAGAATAGCACATATATAACCAGGAACGTCGAGAGCCAGCACGGGCCCCGGGCAAATATCCTCGCTGAGCCCCTTTCTCTCTCTCTCTCTCTTTTTTTAACATTTTCAAGAATTTATTAAAAAGAAGATCCTAAAAATAGGACAGCAACAAGCTCATAAACCAGACAAAATCATAGCAGCAGCCGTTTTTATCTCACAGTATAAGCATAAAAACGTTAATAAAGTAACAACAAATATCTATTAAATCTATAAAGTAACAAATACATATTAATTATTACTCAAATTATTATTTCAGTTGTTCTTAATGTATCAAGCATCTATATGCAAAGAAAAGCCAAAAACTATGGTTTTTATCATTAAATGAAGATATAGCCTAAAGATGCTTTGTGGGCTTTACAGCATGACCAGGTTTCATTCGCCCGGGCCCTTGGGCAGTTGCCCCCTTTGCTAATATGATTTTTGTAACTAATAGCAAGCAACTATATAATTGATGTATAATGTTATGTTGCTGAAACTCTCTTTGGAGACGTTTTCTATTTAAATTTTTATTAAAATTATTATCTCTAAATTATCTTTTATATTCATTTTGATGAGAGCTGACTGACAACTTACAACAGTAAATGTTATGCTACACTACTGAAAGTATTTTCTTTTAAAATAACACTGGTAGTATATTTGTATTGTATTCTTGTTTTATATCTTCGCATAAAGACTTTCTAATTTCATCTCACCTTCTGGGTTTTTTCAGCCACCATTAGGACCATATCAAAGCTGTATGTACCAAGAGCAACATCAAACAGTTTATTTACATTCACCATGTATAACAGGTACTTTAATGCTTCATCAGCAGAAACAAGAGGAGTAATTTCACAGTTTGAAGTTGAGTCTGAAAGTAAGCTTGCAAGTTTATTAAATATATTTTGGATCAGTCTCACACATTTAATAGTGTAAAAGATTATATAAAATGACTAAATATCAGAATATAATGAAACACTTAGCACAAAAATCACAAAAAAAAACAACTCATGTTAAGTTCAAAAGACCCAGAAGTGCAAATACTTTTGAATATTTGACTATTCTTCAGGAAAAGAATAGTCAGCTATTTAAAAGCAGTCTTGCTTCTGGGTCTTTTGAAGTATACTTAAATATCAAAGTAGATAGAGCATAACAAAGATTAAATGAACATAGTTTCATAAAAAATGTTTCAATTATAAAATAATTTGTTCACTATTACGAATGAATAAATTAATCTAATGTTTTAAAGTATGATATCAGTGAAGAATGCTTACACTTATACTTCTTTTAGCTTAAACAGTACCTAAAACCAAAATATTCTTTGACTAGTATTTTTTTATCTAGATTATTCAAAATGGATCTACAGGCAAAGCATTCATGATTTGAAATACGAGTAAAAGTGTGAGACATGCCCATGCTTTTAATTATTCAGCACACAAAATCCATTTTCTTAAGTGATCTACATTAAAGTATGATGTACAAATAACTTCACATACAAAGTACAACATGAAATAAAGGTGTAAAAATAATTGCAACATATAAAACTAGATCACCTATTACAATTAAATACTGTAAGAAAAATTTTTTTGGCTTGCATTCTTGATGTTTAATGAAACAAACCATGAGCAACAGATTAAAATTAAAAAACTTTGGTTTAAACCATTAGAAAGCAGTATGTCTAGCTTTTATGAAGAAAATCACGTAAGAAAATCATGTTTTTTTTCTTTCTATATTCCTTTCAATTTGTCTATTTTTTATTATAAATGAAGTGTGCGTAAAAATAGCTTTTCAGATCAGTCTCCTACAAGTCACTGTTCATGAATCCTTTCTCTCAATACCAGAATTCATCAGTTGGGTTGGATGATGAGAGATAAAAATTTCTCTGAAACTATTTGTATATGCAGTTTCATACTTTAAATGTCAGCTTTGTGTTAACCAGACCCTCACAACAAGGTCTCATCACCAGACCCCTGTTACAAGATTTCATTACTAGACCCTCACAATAAGATGTCATAACCAGACTGTCACAATAAGACCTCATTGCCAAATTCTCACAAAAATTCTGATCATCAGACCCTTGTTACAAGGTCTCATCGCCATGGTTCAGTTAAATGTTGGATACACTAAGATAAAAAACAGTCTGTTACAATACAGACATTTCTTTCAACTTATTATTACTGGGCAAAGATGCCAAGATGAAATTAACTTATTTTCCTTTTTATTAGTTGACATGTTTTACCTATTTTGTTTATCAAAATATAAAACATGCATTTTTTAAAATTTCTTGGTTTTTAATAAAACTATTGTATATAATAAGAGTATACATTGATTGCTGTAGTTAATTACATACAAGTCATGTTTTCATGTTTTTTTTTTCTAGATCAGTTTTTTTTTATCAAAAAGAAAATATTCCACAATGAAAAACCCCATAATTAAAAACAAACTTCTGTGATTTTGGTCATTTTACTTGCATTCTACATCTACCTTTGAGCTTTTTTATCTTCACCAAAGCATCTTCAAGTTCAGGTTGCTTTTTCTTGACATGTGCAGTTAAAACTCCTAACAAGTATCTGTAACGAAAAAAAAAAAAAATTGTCTTTCCTTTAAACAAAACACTTTCTACAAAAATCATTTTAAAATTATTCAAGATGTAGTTTAATTAAAAACAACTATATACACAATTGATTTAGTGTTTTAAATTTTTTTTATGTACAATGGCAGTAATTTTTCATAACATGTGAACCACCAATGATGACAAACTAGAAATACTAAACTTTAATTTTTTTTGCTTGCCATGCTTCAATTTATCTTCTGATTTTCCGTATGAACAGTACCTAAATAGAATGGGAAAAAAAAAAGTTATTTAAAAGCATATTTAAAATGAAATAACTACATATAACAAAAAAATTCTACTTTACAAAACTATGGTGTTTATAGAAGTGAGGCATACTTGCGCAATAACTGCAGACATTAAAGCCAAATGTAGTTATGTACAAAACTAAAGAGGTGCAGACAAGGTCTTCTGCACCAGTATAATATTTTATTATTATTATCTTATTTTTTTGGCAGTACTTCTTACCAGTATGTGTACCAGTCAATACTACCAACTTTTAACTAATGCTGACTTTTACACCTATATGTACTTATATGCCTATCTGTATACATGCACATGTGAACACAAGAGTACATATAGTGGCAGACAAAAGAAAGTTTACATTTCATGTGGATATGAGTATATACACATTTCAACATGCCATCCTGTGGCACATACTGTCCTGTAAACACACCTTGTTATACCTATAAGATACTCGTGCTATTACATGGGCTCCAATTCACAATCAGCAATGTCACACTGATTAAGTATGGCACAGATCTTCCACTAGATGACACTAATAGTTATTTTTCTATATATATATATCAGTTGGGAAGCTTGTTCTATTCCAAGGAATGAATACAGACAGCAATGCCAAGTTGAATAATATTGTTGGAGCACTTGGTGACTAATGTTGAGTCTGTATATTGTTTTGTAATATATTTAAAACAGAATAAATACCTGGGAATTTTAAAATTTTGCTTCAATTATCAACATCATCTATTCTTACACCAAGTTGTGTGTAGAACATTCAGACCAAAGGCACATAATTTTCATGTTGCTTTGAAACTTAGTCACAGTGTTTTAAACGACAAAATATAATACTGATCATTCAAAGGAAGTATGGATGGTTATATCTCCTTGGAAGAAAAGTCTCAGAATGAGTATGATACTGTTAACAATGCGATATATTAAATATGAAATACTTAAAAAACCTTTATAAACATGATATACTATCACATAATAATACAAATCACTAAATTACCGAGTTTTTCATAATCTCTTCTAATGAAATAACCATAGATCTGATGCCAGTGGATTTTACCAACTCATAATAAATGTTATATTGCTTTTTCTAGTACACAAATTGAAGTGTTATTTCTATAAAAATATGTGACATATAAGCAACCACAAAAAAGTGTCAAAAACAACATACATGTAAATGTATGTTTGTTTTCCATAAGAAACCTTTATGTGCACTTTTACAATTTTGCAAATATGGAATCATGGGTACTTATAAAGCAGGGGTTAGTAGTGTTTCATATTAACAAGATTTGTAAAACTTCTCTTCACACACTGACTTGAAGATTTAGTTGCATTTGTCTGTTCTGCAAAAGGCTAAGTGTTAATGATAATATTTAGATTTTTACTTTTTATGAACATAGTCTGTACATGTACTATATGTGTTTTTTTCTTCCTTTAATGCTACCATAGAATAGAAGCAAGTAGTACAACATTATATTCACTAAACTTCAGGTCACACAAAGACGTTAGACAAGAGTCTTGCATTACAGTGATGTGACTGTATATATATGCAACCCATGATATCCACATGATACCCAAGTCATCATACGAGTATATTGTTGACTTATGCATTGTCACAAGCTATCTGCAATGGACTCTTGGATCTCCCATATACATGTAAGCTTTCTTGCTATCATCACTGTATATATTCACCATGTTTTGTCCCAAAGACAAAAGTATACATTTGTGTAACAGTGTTAGTTAGATGACAAGAAGCCCTAACAATTTATAAAAGTTGTGTTTGTTACAAAAACTTAAACTGTTTTTTTACATTACTTAACATTTTTCAAGTATTTTTAATATGTAATGCATCTCATATTTAATACTGTGTTTTTTTGGTGAAAAAAAAAACAGCAATCAATGAGCACCACTTATAAAACCACCACTCAGTTGCCAAAACCTAGCAGAAAAAGGATGTAAACAAATTATACAATATTAATATATAAAAATAATGCTAAATTATAACCTTCTGTTTTTCTTGCTGTGTGTAACATCCAAATTCTGCATATCTCACTCTTTTATTCTCCTGTAATATATATTTCCTATCTAAGAAAAAAATTTTAAGATCTAAATTTATTTGGGGTTACTTAATAAATTTGTCATGAAGTAATTCTTTCTGTAGCTTGCCCTGTCAAGGAACTTATCTACTGTTTTATAAGAGTACATTTTGCCCTACCTGACCCCATGTATTAGAAATACCTTAAGCCTGTCACATGGAACAGATAGACTGTATTGTGAATACAGTTTTGGTGCTTTCACTAGGTTTGTTCCAGCTTTCTGTTTTTTGACATAAGAGAGCCAAGTGGTACTAGTAAAGTCTTGTCTGTGTCTCACTCATTATTGCTACTGATCATGTTAACTCTTTTAAGTGGACACTATTTAACCCTTTCAAGATGGATCACGGGTTAAAGGCCACATCATCTCGTTTGTTGACTTACATTTCAAATTTCATTGAACTACTATTTCATGAACTTATATCAATAAGTTTGGTATCAAACTGTAGATTATGATTAAAATTTTAGTACTATACATTACTCAACTTCTTAATTTAAAAGCAGATATTAGAAAACACAGATAAACATCGATTTTTGTGTGTCATGTGGTATGTTGAATGTAGCACTAATTCAAATTAGATGTTTGTGAAGTCAAAATACGAAGTCTATAGTTTCGCACAAATTAAAAACTCAAATTACTGATATTGACAAGCTAGAATATAAAATAAGAACGTTTTATATTTTCTATTTGCTATGATAGTGCTCATGTAATAAATCAAACACAGTGGAAACGCTCCATTATATACACTTACTTTTATATATGACATAAATAACCAATCAAAAGCTCAGAATGTCCCCTAGTGGCTTTCTAAGCCATTTTAATAGGCTTGACCCATTTCTTTCTTTTGAACTAATATTTCAAGGCGGTAGGGTGTGTCTTTAGTCTGCTCCAAAATTTCATATTTTTTTAGACTCAAATACATCTTAGTAACTAAGCTTGATAAATTATAGTGGAATTCTATATTATTGATGTAGTAATTTATAATTGTTTAGTTATTCAAATATATATATATAAAACCTAAAAAAAATTATTTTGTTTCATATTCTCAACATGCAAAATTTTAAAAGGCTTAGCAACCTACGTCAAGCAGCAACTGAGTAAAAAGGTCGTAACTACAAAAGATAATTGTTTGCTTTACTTCTTACTGTTCTATGTTTTAAGAAAATTAGTTTAGAACCTATTTCAAAATATCAATAATCTATATACATATATAATGTATAATAATTGAAATGTTACTATATTTTACAAAATACTAGTCTACTAAAATACAGCCAAGACAAGTTACTTTGTACAGACCAAAGATCAGTTTTATGTTATCTGATATGGTAACATGAGTACACGTGAGCCACATCATTTTAATTTCTGTATTGTTAGCCAGGCACTGCTGAAAGGTCAATATAATAAAAATAATAAATATATATAAATGTATAATGTTATAATTTGTGTTCATTCTGGAATGAAAGAGGCATAATTTATATTTATTTCCTAATTTTTTATGGTGGTTACAAAATCGGTCAAATGTATCAAACCCGTACAGAGATTCGTTAGTGAAAATAAAAGATAAAATATAAACTTTTCTTGTTAAGAAA